AGAAGTTGATTCAACATTTCCATTTTCTCTGTTCCCATCGATGCGTATTCATCTGATGGCTTCGAATTCAATAGTTGATTGAGCATATCCATCTTTTCGCGACCCATCGTTGCGGATTCCCCGCTAGGAGAGGCGTTCAGCAACTGGCTAAGCATTTGCATCTTCTCGCGTCCCATGGAAGCAACTTCTGCAGAAGCCTTCGAACTCAAAAGTTGATTGAGCATTTGCATCTTATCTCGGCCCATCGTTGCGGATTCCCCGCTTGGAGAGGCGTTCAGCAGCTGGCTCAGCATTTGCATCTTCTCCCGTCCCATGGAAGCTACTTCTGCCGACGCCTTGGCATTAAGAAGCTGACTAAGCATTTCCATTTTGCCACGACCCATGGTGGCGGAAGCTCCATTGGGCGTCGTGTCGACGCCGGGTTTCAGAGGCGCCATTCCTCCCTTTCTGTTGTCTTGATGATCATATCCGTATCCGAGGCGAATCCTCGGAGGGGGCTGGTAATAAGCCGGATTGAACTCATTACTTTTATTCTCCTCGGTAGGAACTACCTCCGCTTCATACGAATCTGCTGCATACGACCCGGGCTCGGGGGCAGCAGGTTGGTAGTACTCTGTTGGCTCTTGTTGAAAATTTTGTCCTCCCTGCGAGAGCTGGTTAAGATAATTGTTTTGAAGCGCCGAGGTCGATGCAACCGAGGCCAAAAATACCGCGAAGGTGATCTGGTTTATTTTCATCATCTCGGAAGTGTTCTACTTTTGCTTCCCTTGCACTTGATAAAGGCGTTTCTTCGGTCCGAATGTTTCGTTGACCGTGATTTGAGTCTCTGAAAAGCTTGTTTCGATTCTCCTGCGGCAATGCTTCTGGTATCGTAGTACCACTGTGTATGATGAGCCGATGGGAAATTCGTTGATGAAAATATACGTGCTTGTTGGCTGTCTTCGTGCACAATTGAAAATGTGTCTTTTAGGACGGGCAGGATTTCAAGCTCCTGTGATTTCATAGGCTGATACCGTGCGGTGGATCAGTGCTATGTCGGCACCGTTCTCATACGTCATTCGATTTTGAATTTAGATCACGTGGAGAATGTACCATCGGTAGAGGCAGAACCTCATGCGCCAAAAATATAAAATATCACGTGGAAAGAAAAATGAAAAATACTGGGCCCTCCGGAACCCACGCGCACATCCCCCCTTTTTGAATTCCTCCCCTAGAAAAACCTGGGTTATTTTTTGTAAAATAACCCAAGTTTTAGAATTGTGGGTTATTTCATGGGAAAGATAACCCATGTTTCCAAAACATGCGTTATTTTATTGGAAAAATAACCCATGAAAAACCCACTAATAACCAACGATTTAAGAGTCATTCTTCTTGGGCTTAGTAGAGCAGGAGAACCAATGACATTCTTAAGTATTTTAGTAAGAACCTGTGGGAGTGACTGTCCTAAAAGTGATGTAAAGTGTGTGCTAGAAGAAAAGTGAGTCAATGCTCTTATCAAGGATCAACAAACTATGAAATCTAGAACCGATCACTGTGAGGATCGAGTGATGTGTGAATCGAATGAGTCGAGTCACTCACCCAAGTGAATGAAATGAGGAGTCATATCGATCGTATGAATCCAGTGGGATCAAGTGAATCATATATGTATGGTGTGTATGAATCATAGATACATATCATATGTATGTTTCGTAGATATGAGTCATACGCACGGTCTGATATCCTACAGACAGCATGTTTTTTGGTGTTCAAAAATAGGACCAGCAGATTTGTGGGTTATTTGTGGGTTAACCCACAAACAAAAGGTGGGTTATTTTGTGGGTTTCTGGCTATCACACACATGACTGGAACAGCAGCAGTTAATATCAATGGGAAAACAACACCTATTCAAGCTTGCTGTCTTAATTGTGACAGATAAAATGTTACAGGTAAATGAGACTTGCCTGCTCACTGTTGACTACTAGTAGATATCCATTTGCTAGCATCAAACAAATTGAAACATTGAATAAGTATCTGAACTGATTGTATGACAACCAATTGTCTGTGCAGGTGACTTCTCTAGTATTGTCAAAAAAATCCATCTTTGGAGAGAAAACCAACACATTTCTTGAACTTAAAACAAACCACAGGTTTAAAGATGATCCAATCTGGGGAGAGCTTCTTGATGATTTAAGAATAAATGGCTTGAAAGAAGAGCATGTTCAAACCATCAATTCTAGAATTGTAAACCTTGGGACAAACTCCCAGAAGATATTGCTTATGCAACATACAGCAATGCCAACAAATGTGCAATAAATGATGGCATATTTTCTGAGTTTCTTAAAAAAATTCAAAAAATAAAAACAAGAGAATACCAGATCACACCATTGTAATCAAGGCCTCCTAAAACCTAAAACTGCAGATAGACAAAAAAGAAAATATAGAGACATGCCATAATTTCAGAAATACTGCTTGCTAATTGCCACATCAGATGCTGACATTGTTGCAGGTACAAACAAATCTTCCAAAGGATAGATCCAATGCTTAAATTGTATGTTGGTAGACCTGTCATGTTCAATGACAACATAGTACTATACATTTTTATGTTCAATGTGTAGATGCCAAGAAAGTTGAATGAATTGAAGTAGTCCTTGAAGGAGACTCAAAAAAAGGGATCACTTTATCTTCTCAAAACACAGCAGCAACAGCAACATTTTGATGTCTGTGGGAATATGAATCAAGAATTAGTATCAATCAAACTCAACAAGTCACAAGGGAATACAATTATCTCAATTCCCAATTATTATTGCTAATGCAAGAACCGTTCACAGATTACAGGGAAGACCTTTGAAATGTGTTGGTTTCAACTTGGTCTTACACAAGAAGCAATTGGATTTATTTTGTGTTTTCAACAAGAGTTAAAACTTTTTCCAATGGTCTGTTTGTAAGACCACCTCTTCTGCTTACAAAAAACAACACCAACAAAAACAATACCCAGCATACGCAACAACAAATTGATGATTTCCATTCCTATTTCAGAAACAACAAACATCCATAGTAGTACTTTAATTGAATAGCTTCTACTACAAATTCTTTTCAGAGCATAACTTCAATCTTACTGGCACTAACTTAGTTTTTGCACCATAGAAACTATTTGGATTAGCAAGCCAATTCTTCTGTACTACTAGTATGTGTAAAATAACAATTCAACTTTCTTTAAACAAAGGATTGGGAACATTCAATAATTGTATGAAATGTTCTTAATTTGGCAGTGTGAATGTTAGTATACCAGTAGAACCATAGGACTACATATATCCTACTAGATTTATCCACATTCTTCATTTTGGTAGCACGGTAGTTCTAGCATCAAAACCAATAATTTTGGTCTTGTTTCCTGAAAACAAAGGGGAAGAAGGGGGTGCCTCCCCTGCTAACATCCAGACTGTTAAGCAGAGCATTCAGGACATTAAATTGAAGCAAAATGCAGTACTATTTCTACAAGGCCTAAGAGATTAATGTACTGTATGTTAATGTAACATTCCCAGCAACCCCTTATTTCTTCAAGAAAGTTCAATTGTTATTTTCTGTGTTGTACCAGTAGTACTATGAAGAACTACTAGCTTTTGTCTAGAGTCTAGATTGATATTGTGAATAAATTTTCAATTGCTTATTCATGGTATTCCTAGTATTGCTAATTCTAGTACTAGCAAGTACAAGTACAAGTACTAGTAGAAAACTACTACTAATGAAAATCTTTCAGTGCCAATTTTGGTAGATGATATCACAGTAGGCTGGTTTCAAAGCCACCAACCCATGCACTCCTTAGATCTAGTATGACACACCAATTGCAAGGTCTAATAAGAACTATGGTGAGAAGAAGCTATCTTAGTAGTAACATCTGTCTTTCCTAGAACCAGTAAGAAGGAGGTTCTCTGTAGATGTGTGCTAGTAAGGCAGTACTGTCTCTCACTGGGTGCTGTGCAGTTTAAGTTGTTCAATGATCAAGCTTATTTCTTTGTACTGATTGAATATTTTTCTGCTAATGTATTTCACCAAAAAGGTATTGGAAACAGATTTTTATATTTGTTTTATAGCTTCAGTACTAGTAGTATTTCCAATATTGATGTGATTGCAGCCTCTGGAGAGCTTCATAGTACAATGGTATACATCAGTAGTAATTTCAACAAACTATGGAATCTAGAATCGATCACTGTGAGGATCAAGTGATGTGTGAATCGAATGAGTTGAGTCACTCACGAAAGACGTGAATGAAATGAGTCAAGTTGACCATATGAATCCAATGGGATTGTGTCAGTCATATATGTATGGTGTGTATGAATTGTAGATACGTGTCATATGTAAGTGTTGTATATATGAGTGATACCCATGATCTGATATCCTACAGACAGCGATTGTCATGATTAATTCAAATCAATTGTGAAGGATGCTAGCACAAAGAAGCACCTTATGATACCACCAGCCTCTATACTACCTCCTCCTGACCCCCCCTGCAATTTTACTTGGTGGATTCTGCATATTCTGCAAAAACTTTTGTGTCCTTGCATATGAGAAAAATGACTCTTTCTTCTGTGAACAACAAGGATCCTTCTCCCTTTTGAAATGCTTACAGACTCTAGCACTGCTACTAATTCACATATGATGCAACCACTGGTGGCCCCAACATGAAAATCAGCTACACCATCACCTGCAGTAGTTGTAGTAGTAGCTGTTTTGTATTTCCTTATCTGGTTTTTTAATCCAGCAGTAAAACACTAGTATTAACCATCACCTGCAGTAGTAGTAGTAGCTGCTTTGTATTTCCCTATCTGGTTTTTTAATCCAGTAAAACTGTTGTTATCCAACCCCCCTTGTCCCATGTTCTTTGGTACTAGTACTACAAGAAGCCCTATGTCCTTTGATACTACTTTTTAGAAGCAATAGTACAAACACCACAGTAGCATGTGTTACTTGTTGGCTGGTCTTCTTAATACCTTGAGTGTTGGTGGTTGTTCTTGTTCACAGGGACTGACAACCCTTTTTGTATACTATCATTGATATTCTTAGTACCACCACCTAAGTTTATAGTAGTAGGGTGCGCTGGTAGTAATACTAGTGATTTCAAACTTGTTTTGTTAGTTGTGTCATCATATTGTAGATGCTCTAATTTCAACAGGAAGAACCTTCTTCACTGTCATACTGACCAAAATTCCCAACTCTCTCAAGATCCTTTAAGTAATTTACCTGATGTGGAATCCTGGTTGAAAAACTTGAACTTCTTGAAGTAAACTATTTTGATGCAACATTTCAGTGGTCTTCCTCCTCTAAATCAAAGATCTAGCGAGGAGCACGGGAGGAGCAAGACTCTATGACTATGCATGAAATCTGAGCAGCATGAATTTTGTATAAACTATATGGTGGTATTATAAGCTATTCCATCATCATAACAATACAACTGCTGCTGGCACTTCTTCTACTTATCCTTATTCCTCACTACTTCAATGTTCGCCATTATATTTGAATGAATAAAATAGCTATTGTTAGTAATGTTCAGAATTTGCTTGAAAAAATGAAAGTTTGCAACAAAGAAAAGTACTAGTGTGTCAAGCAATTGGTACAAAATTAATTGTAACATTCTATCGATGTGTTACCTTTAAAACAATATAGAATACACATTTTTGGACAAAAGGAAAATGACTTTGCTCGTGACAACAAGAAACATAGGTTTCTATGTTCTTGACCCACAAAACTCCATCAATAACATCTTGCTTGTTGATTCTTTTTTTACTAACTGTTCATGCATGGTGGTACTACTAGTAGTACTACAAGTACTACTAGTACAAGTACTACTACTACTAGTACAAGTACAAGTACAAGTACAAGTACAAGTACTACTACTACTACTACTACTACTACTACTACTACTACTACTACTACTACTACTACTACTAGTACAACTTGTACCTTGAAGTACTAGTACTACTAGTACTACTAGTGATTCAAAATTGTCTTGGATGTTCATCTGGAACAAAGCATGATGAGTGATTAAGTTTAGTTTTAAACAAATTCATGATGATGAGGAGGACTTCTTAGTATTATTTCTTGGGCAAGAAATGACAAGAACAAATTCCTTTTCCAACAAAGGTGATGGAGGTCTTAATTCTTCTGCAACATTATTGCTTGCACTAGATGCCTCCAAAATCATCAGACCACACCACTAATTTGGTAAAATTCAACTATTTATTCTTGCAACTCCCTTCTTTTTAGAACTCATGCTTTGTTACTATGACGATCCTACATATTTTTCATCAGCTCCATCTTTAGTAGTACTTCTACTAGAAGTACTAGTACTATCATCCTCACTTGGCCAAAGATATATCTGCTGTTCTCTGCAGGGTGCATGAGTGACATCCTGAGATCCTAATCATTGTGAATTGGCATTCGTGCCTTTGTTTGAAGGGGCACTAATAAGAACCATGTTCTTGGGGTTGTCATATTTCTGAATTTGATTATCTGATTCGGAATCTGTGTGCTTGATTGCCTCACCAACCAAGCCAAGCTTGACTGGTTCAACAGAAAGGCTCAGAATGGCCCAGAATTATCTGATTATCTACTACATTTCAAAAAAGGATTTGTGGTTGGACCAAAATTTTCAAAGAGGGCAAATCAACTAGTTATTCAACTATCAAGTCACCAAAGACCTTGGAAGCCCTGTAGCTAATGTGTAGAGTGCTTTTTATGTGGCACGGTATACTTGAAGATATTACAAATAATTTGTTTTTGTTTTGCAGCAAGATTGTACATTTCAAGGGGCTTTCTTGGTTGTTCCAACCTTGCTTGGCCATTTTGGCAACTACTCGAAAGCCCTCAGCAGTTTGTTTGTGTTGGCCCGGAAAAACCAACATCGCAATGTGGGCACACGTGGATCTCCCAGCAAAGAGCTGCTACCTGGACAAACGTTTCGCTTGGTACGTATTGCAAGGTTCCGACAAACACTCTGGATCACAACCGTGCTGTGCATTGTATTCGCATCGCTGCGACTCTTCTTCGTCCTCGGTTCTCTTTCTCCTCTCGGTGATGCAGGCTTGCTGGGACCGTTGCGTGCTTCCCTCGCGGTGGCTGGCACGGCTCCGTCATGTCTCGGCAATGGTTGCCCGCAGATTACAGCACACCGCAGCACAAGACTACACAACACTACACAACGCGACACGAGTTAAACTCGCTGTGCGCGGCGCCTCGGTAGGGCAGCTAGAAGTTGTGTACCGTACAATGGCAACAGTGCAAACAAGGATGTGGTACTTTCATAAACTCTATGTTCTATCATTACTCGTATGTGGACGTGACATATATATGTATGTATGTATGGATGGATGTATGGAATCTGTGTGCATGTATATGGAGGTGTGGGGGATGCAAGCAAGCAGGGTTCCGTTCGGGGTTTCGCCAAACTACGCCAGGGACGCCCAGGCTGCCGTGGCACAGCACAGCACAGCATAGCATAGCGCTGTATCGCATGGTGTTCCGTCTACCAGCAGGGAGCAATGATCTTGTTGACGGGGAGCTCGATCGACGATGGAAAGACGTCGCAGTTCCCCTCTCGAACGAATTCGCAGTTGTTCCCGTCGAGAATGGAGGAGCCCTCGTCCCCGTCCTCGTCCCCGTTGTACCTGGAGCGACCACGCCGCCGCTGCGCGTGGTTCTGGTTCTTTTTGGTGTTCCTCGACCTCGTTGCGGTCTTTGCTGGTGTTCTCCTCCTGCCCCACGGCGCCAGGACTTCCGTCTTGTTCGACCTGCGGGCCCTGGAGCCGGGCATCGCCTCCTCGAGGAGTTTGGTGTCGGCCAGGCTGTCCAGGCACAGCAGCCCACAGGCCAGCGGAAGGGCACAGGCGAGGCTCAGACAGGAGAGAGAGTCGCAATCCTTTCCGGCCCCTCGCTTGTAGTACTGGAGGAGGGTGCGGTTGTCGTTGTCCTCGATCGTGGAAAGGTCGTCCTCTACGGTCCAGTCCTCCGGATCCCTAGGGATTGGTTCGTACGAGTTGCTGTTGCTGCTCGACGAGGAGGTCGAGTCCGTGGAGGGACATCCGTACGGCGAGCCGTAGACTCCGCGGTAGGCGTCGGCGTCCTTGTTCTCAGAATGGCCGTTGCCATTGCTGCTGGCATCCTGCACCTGCTGTCTTGTTTGAACGGGGGTGCCGGGGAGAGATCCTTGGAAGGTGGTGTTTCTGTTTTCATCGATTCGGACGGCTTTTCGGATGGTAATCGTGCTTGTGCTTGTGTTCTTGGTTGTCTTTGTAGTTGCATCTGGGAATCCGTTTTCGTTTCCAGTTCCAAATCGACCTCCGTTTGTAGCAGAAGCGTGGGTGTATTCGAAATTGAATCCGTCTTCGCGAGACAGTAGTGCGGCCTCCTGTTCCACAAGCGTGAGGCCGAGGGTTTCCAACATGTCGGGGGTCATCATGGAGGTGGTTCTGGAGGCACTCGCCGCAGGGTTCTGCTTCTTTGTCCTGGCCAACAGGGCCGATTTGAGGGGTCTTCTTCTGTTGGTGCTCCTGCTCTCCTTATCGTTCTTCACTTCGATGGGGGGCAGATCTGCGTAGACGTCCTCCTCGCTGTCGGCTTCGTACTCGCAGTAATCCTTATTAAGGGCGTTGCTCTTGCCGTTGCTGTTGCTGTTGCCGTTGCTGCCGATACGCCCGACCTTGCGGATAGGGATGGCCAGCCTCCACTTGTCGCGGATTCCATTTCCGCTTCTCCTGCTTCCATTGCGCTGGGAGGGGGCATCATCGCCATCGCGGGTGTAATCGGACCGGAGGTTCGTCATGGCAAGCACTCGTGGTTGCTCTTTTGTATCGTTTTTTTTTTCTCTGCAGTGAAGCACCGTATCGGTGTTGATATTGATATTTTTATTGTGTTCGATTGGTAAAATTTTTGGATGGAACCAAGAAGGAGTTGGTCGATTGATCAGAACAATCCTTGCGGATGCGAGTGTCGTATCCTAGAGTTCAGTGCTCGTCAAACTTGGAACTGTGGCAGTGTAATACCATATACATGGATGGCTCTTTTGGAAGCTTCTATTGTTGTTGTTGTTGTTGTTGTTGTTGTGATGGGAGCCATTGGATATTGGACGCAGCTTCCAGATTTGGTACGAGTACGATACCCCCCCCCAACTCTTGCATTGGCTAGTAGGGTTTTACCGTATCGGGGGACTTGGGTGGGATCACCGCACCACAGAATTTCGGATCCGTGCACCCAGGACGGTGAAGCCACCGGACGGGTCGGTCGTACGAAACCGCAATGGGTTCCCGGATGCGATGCCCGCCATGTACTGTCCGGGAGTGGCCATACTCGGGCCTCGGAGGCAGTAGTGCTGGATGCTACATGTGTGTCACTCCGCGGCCGGTCCATGACCCGAATTCAAAATTTCGATCCGCAAACCGCCGCCCCGGCGTGGGAACGTGGATTCAAAGCCTAGAAGCGTGCCGATTTATTTAAAATCAGCTTGGCCCGAAGATTACTGTTACCGGTGCAACGGAAATTTAAGCGAGGGCTTTATTTCAAAGTCAAAGAATGCTATCCCGGATGGGAGATATCATAGTCACTCATAGTCCGATGGGATTAGAAATTTCCGTTTTGACACACCGGGCCGGTTGAAATATCCTGTCGGTGCATCAACGAAGAATACAAAAATAGCGTCCTACTCTTCGGACTATTGATACATACGTACCGTTGTAGACATGAGCGGTTCTGTCGTGGGCGACCGATTTGATTCGTTCGTGTTGGATCGGCTTTTGTTTTGAGCCTTTGGAAGGCTTAAAGCAATCCGAAAACCATCATGTGGATACCGTTGCGCGATCGTTGGATATCATACTGCCCGAGTCCCGTTCTACGACCGACTCGCAAAACACACTATCGCGTTGCACCCCACGAATGAACTACGATACAAAAACGGGAAGACATTGATCGAGAGGAAGACACGACGATGTTTTCCATCCATCACTTTTCATATTTTTTGGTATATGGTACCTGTCATCTCTCTGCATTGAGTTCGATTGAATTCTATTGGATTCCATTCCATTGCATCACACCAATGCAGAGGGTTTCTCTTTCACAGTGACTATGGTTCGAAATGCCAGCTAGAGTCCGCAACAACAATCCCGGCAGACCCGGCACGACGACAATGCTGCGCAGCAACAGCGGGTGAATTGTGCGTCGATGGCAGTACGTGGCCTCGCATGGGAATGTCCGCCCCGGAACACACGGGCGCGGAGTGCCATTGCAGTAAGGGACATTGCACAAAGCCTTCCGGAACGGCGTGTGCCGCAAGCGATATGCCCGTGCACTAGGGCCTTGTTTGCTAGCAAACCAACTACGGTGCCGCAACACGAGGGGCGGGATGCCGTCTGCCGAAAGCATGGTGGGTCCGTTTGCATGGCTTCAAAAAATATGATGCACACCAAAACATTCTTGTTTCCGATCGGCAACGGCAAAAATGGATCGGATTCGATCACATCGCATCCGAACGGGAAACAGGCATGGGTAGACACGGTCATGGGATACTGTAGCACCGTGCCTTCGATGATGGGGTGGGTTTGGAGACCGTTGTTGGCATCAAGGGCACATCATCATCTGTGCTCCGCATTGGTTGGCAGCCCTACGAACCGGGATCGTACGGAATTGCCGAGATCCCTGATGGTGATTGCAGCCAGTCAAAGTCGGTCCGGTTCATACAGTAGGATGAATTCTTATGTTCATGGACACCGAACATTGTGTATGAACCGTATGATAGTACTACCGTTGAAATTCTTGTCCGATTACTTGAACGTAAAATCAGAACACTCGTACAAAGTCTTCAGGCGATCCCGAGGTAAAAAGAAAATTCCCCTTCGTTGGGCAATAATTCGATCGAGTCGTGATTGAGAAAAGTGAAGCTCTCCTCCCCGTTTTTTCATGTGTATCTTCATGTGGTTGCGACTACAACAGCAATAAGTAAATAATATTTGAAATCAACCGGCTTAAGCCATACGGCAAGATGTACCATGGGGAGGGTTGGTCGACACGGTTTCGTTCATTATTTCGGAGCATGCCTAAAACACAAAACTCCTACACTTTGCGCACACATGGGCGCCGTTCTCCTCTTCGTCAACGACCACCGCTGCATGTGCTACGAGAACGGCACGATCGTACGACTTTCTAATCATTTTATCTTCGCAAAGATTCTCGTGCACAAACGAGAGCTCTCAACGGCAACCGTAGCAGCGTCTGCATACATGGTCCACACCAGTGTCTAGAGTCATGCTAGTGAGGAAAAACATCCAACCAATCCATCATCAGTAACAGATGTTTTCCTTTAACGTGATCAATTGTTCCGCAACGAAACATAAGGACGGCATCATTTATATCTAGTAATCGTGGAACATACCAAGAACGAAATTACTACTATAATATTATTGGGACTGGTATTTTTCGGTTCTGCGCTACTATGTCAAACACACCATCATTGTCTGTCGGGAAGTGTGGATTGCTGTAGTCTCGATCGCCGTCGTGCCGGTTCCCTTGTGAGACAGCTAGCTAGGAGAGTAGAAAACCGATTGCGATTTCGCAGGCGGGGGGGAAACGGAACAAAGGGAACCGAAGAGGCCGGCAGAGAGTTACGGAGGACAATGTCGGGAATGCCAATGGCACCACAGCAAACGATGTTCGTGGATCAGACAACAACGGCGACTGAGATTTATCACCAAACAGTTCCCGCTGCTTCCAACAATGGGAGCGGCCAAGCACCTGGTGTCGCTGGGATAGCGCAGCACCGGCAACAGTCAATCTACCAGCAGCCACCACCGTCGCTGCCACAAATCTCACAGGAAGCTTCATTGCAGCAACAAGACGGTTCGCTATCGTCCTGGCTATACAACGCGACAAGCGGCAGCATCCACAATTCCTCAGCGCCCATGCCGCTGCCTCCGGGAATGGAAATCATCCTGGGCAACACGAAGTACACGATTCGGTATCAATCGTATGAGATGACTAGGGAAAAAGCGGCCGTATACATCGAAAAATGCACGGGAACACCCTTCGCTAGGTTGTCATCGCCTCCGGATCCCGCTGCACCGGGCGCCAGTATTAGACAGCAGAGGCTACAGCGCCAGCACCAGCACCAAAACCCACTTCAATCAGGACAAAGGGGCGTCGACGATGCCATTCGAAACGCTGCGGCCATGTCCACTGCCAACGCGCCGGCCGAATCACAACACAATCGGCAACAAGGGGGGTTTTCCTCGCTGCCACCACCACCACCATCACCATCAACTGCAGGGCCGCCACCATCTCTCGGGGACCAGAGAGTAACCACAGCGGTGCCACCACAGCATCAAATACTAGGGGCGGAGCCATCGCCAGCGGCTTCCATATCCGACGCCGTGCACCGGGAACGACACCCGCAACCGCGGAATCATATGCACACATTGGCGGCGGCGGCATCGGGATTGTCGCCGCCTCCAATACAACTATTGCAGCCAGCCAGGGGAGTGATTCAACAACAGCAGCAGCACCAAAGCAGCGAGTATGTGCTGCCTCCACTACAACAGGGAACACACACCACTACCAAACTCGAACAGCAGTCTTCGCCAAGCCAGGGATATTTTTGGGAAGACGGCGTTTGGAAGGTGTGGCAAGCAGGAAACAACAACGAAAGAGCCGGACAACGGGGGGCACCCGCCCCGATCGACGATGGCAAAATGCCAGCGCCTATACTCGTAGTGGGACCAGCACCGGCACCGATGGTGGGGCAGCGAACATCCAAGCAGTACCATCCCCCTCCTCATTATTCGCAACAGCAGGAACCGCAAGCACAGCAACATATCGTAGCTTATTCCGTGCAAGCACAGCAACACCAACCATTCCCGCAACAGCAACATCAACCAATGCGATCGACACCACTTCCTCTTCCACCACAACAAAATTCAAACGACGGCCGTTACACCAACTACCCACAGCAGCCACAATATCAGCCACCCTTACAGGTTGTAGCCACTCCTGGTTCTGGTGTCCACGATTCTACCTCGTACTTGCTTGCACAGCAGCAACAGCCACCATCACAGCAACAACAGTATCAACAGCAGTATGAATATCAGTATTACACGCCACCGCCAACATGAGTAGGAACAACATTGCTGCCGTCTCATATCTTTGATGGAATGCGATTCGATTGAGTCATGAAACGGACAGCAGCACCTTTTCGTCGATGGCGATGAATGCAACAGGCATCGGGGCTGGATGTGACCCTTTGTTGTCGTTCCAAAAGCTAGGGGCTTGCGCTTCAAGCACTGGCTATTTTCTTTGTTTGCTTGTTTGTTCCCTATACTGCATTCTCAAAACTCTTTTGAAACACCTCGAGAGAAACCATGATTTTTCATACCATGGTTTCTCTCGAGGTGTTTCAGGGCATGGTGGGGAGTTCATGGTGACAAGGAATCGAACGTTCGAGTATTGAAACAAACCGCAGTTATTTTATATCATTTTCCACTAGCTTATTGATCAGACATGATATGAAATAAAAGTAATAAAAAATACAAACAAAATACCAAAAACCTGAATCTTTTTCCTTGCCAGGGTCGTTTGCTGATGATTTTGTGTTTCTAAAACATCGGTTGTAATGAAATCCCCGCGAAATCTGGCCCCCGAATTAAAGAAGGTGGATGTGTTTTAGATTGCTTTTCATCGGTTCTACCTACGGTACGATACTCCTACCAGGTACTACAGAACGTATTTACAATAAAGAGTGAGTGGAGGTGGTGAGTTATTCACTACTCACTCGTGATTCACGTGATCCACGTGTGTTAGGCTCACACCCACACCTAGAGGCATGGCAACAACTCGGAGTTGAAGGAATTCTGACAGTACAACATACTCGTACAATGTACGGAAAGCACTACAGGGCTGTTGTGATTCATTGTTCGCACTCAAATGTACCAATAGAGCATCGAGGTAGGCTTGTGAACCCTAAAACACAGTAAAACACAAGCAATCACGAGTAGATAGTGAGTGAGGGCAAATAACGCTCAACCAGTCACTCTTTATTGTAAACACGTAGAAGTAGCTGTTTGCCCTTTGGGCAAAACAGCCTCTGTAACGAGTCCCTCATTCTTTACTTTCCCAGATCCTCTGGGACTAGTAGATATGCGTTTGTTGGTG